TATTGTCTTTAGATCCACATGTCAGCCGCTAGTTGATAAGTTTGTGAAGAACATGACTCAAGAATTTGAAATGAGCATGTGTGGGGAGTTAAACTATTTCTTGGGACTGCAAGTGAAACAATCAGCTGATGGAATATTTGTTTCACAAAGCACTTATGCCAATAATTTAGTTGAACGTTTTGGTCTCGCCAAGAGTAAAGAGGCGAAGGTCCCAATGAGTGTGACTGACAAGCTCTCAAAGGATGAAGCAGGAGAGGATGTTGATGAACGAGTTTACAGAGGAATGATCGGGAGTCTGTTGTACTTAACTACCAGCAGACCAGACATCTGTTTATCTGTTGGAATCTGTGCTCGGTATCAAGCCAAACCAAAGAATTCTCATTTGTTGGCTGTTAAGAAGATCATCAAGTACATCAAAGGGACTGTAAATCTTGGAATATATTACACCAAGGATACAACCAGGAGCTTGACAGGCTACTGTGATGCTGATTGGGCTGGTTCATTGGATGATCGTATAAGCACAAGTGGTGGATGTTTCTTCATGGGCAACAACCTGATTTCATGGCACAGCAAGAAACAGAACAGTGTTTCTCTGTCAACAGCAGAAGCCGAGTACATTGCACTGGGAAGCTGCTGCACTCAACTCATGTGGATGAAACAAATGGTTGCTGACTATGGTATGGATTCTGAAACTCTTTTAATTCATTGTGATAACCAAAGTGCAATCAACATAGCTAAGAATCCTGTTCAACATTCACGTACTAAGCATATCGATATTAGACATCATTTTATTCGTGAACTTGTTGAGGCGAAACTGATTGTGGTTGATCATGTGAGTACAGAATTTCAACTGGCTGATTTGTTTACTAAACCATTGGATTTTAACAGATTCGTGAATCTGAGAAAATCCATTGGGATTTGTGAGATCTAACCTTCTCTGTGAGTTGTGCTGATTTAAGACAGGGACTAGAGCAAGAACAGATCATGAAAATCCTAAGAATGAATAGAAGATCAGCACCCTGTACTTCGGTTTAAAGAGAGTGGAAAATAGCTGCCTGTCATGCCAACTCTTGTGCACATTCCTGTAAAACGTTGTCGTGATAACGGAGGTCAAAGAGCTGAGGAGAGGTGGAAGTGTGCATGTCACGAGATGTACTTGGAATTGTGATACATCAATAAGTCAATTCCAGTACTCTATTAATGGAGCTCTGAATATGCTATTGAAGACATGCACAAGGATCAGTGGTTGAGAAGTCAAGTGATATCACTGATCCACAAATCAGAAGGTTTAACAGAGGCTTGGTCAAAAATAAACGTTCTGAGAGAAGGCTCTGCCTGACTGTTAAATCATAGATCCACAGGCAGTGTGTTAAACAAAAAAAAAGAAAAAAATAATAATAATAAAAAAAAAAAAAGGAGAAAAAGGGTTTAACACACTCCTGTTCCTGCACTCTCTAAAGGGTATTCCAGCTGCCTGTTCATGTTGGGTTTCGAAGCTTGAGTTGAAGGTATGCAAGAGTGAAAGACGAGCCACTGAACTCAGAGCTGATCTGTAAAAGATTTAGAAGGTTGTGGTAGCTTCTCGCTCTGTGCTGAACAAATGGCTGGCACAGAACACAGACGAGATAGAGACTCAAGGTACATGTTTTTGAATGATTTTATGATAATACTTCCAAGTACTCACATGTTAATTATCATTATGGGTCCCTAAAGCATGTTCATGAGTAAACTGAGTCTTTCTAAAAGAAAGTGTTTTGAGGTTCTGTCTTGAACTCAAGAATGTAAAAAAAAAAAAATGGGTTGAAAATCGGATTTAAGACTTGGTTGATAAGTGTGCACTAATGGGTTTATTAAGTGTTTCAGGATCGTGGGTTTTTAAAGTTATATCAGCAAGGCCCATTTGTTTTTAAGGCCCATGATGTTGATAAGCGTGTTTAGGAGGGAAAAACTAGGGTTAAAACCTAGTCGTGGAAGTTGAAAAGTTTCGAGATTGCTCATTGTTCTTTTCTCTCTCAAGTCCACGAGTTCAAAAAACCCTAAATCGAGCAAGAAATTCATCATGAGGTCCATCTTCAGCGGAATCCAGAAGCTTGTGTCAAGCCAGTCGCCGGAGCCCGATACGCCTCTGCCAGAACAGTCTTCTCCGACGACACAGCCATCTCCGACTGACGAAGAACGGGTCCCCAGACCACAGGGTTTTGAGGCGACGGAACCCAACAATCAGTTGGTTCCGTATTCGGCCATTCTTCTTGAAACCGAGAACCAAGAGATCGAGTCGCTTCCGATTCCCAAATCTCCAATGGCTGTTGATGGAGACTGCGACTCTTCGGCTAACCCCCAAAGATCTCAGCCGACTGAACCTTGCAATCCGATCCCCGATCTGCTGATTGAAGAAATCTCCGATGGTTCCGAGTCGGTTCAAGTGACCGGAACTACAGGGCCGTCTGTCTCGTCTCGGGTACTGAAGCGTGCGCAGACGAGTGCGATGCCGTCTGAGCAGAAGAATCGACGTTCGTCCGCACGAGGAAAAGGACCAGTTGTGAAAGACGAACATTCGGTGGAATTCGATCAAACTCGGTTCGGATCTGTCATCGCATTTCAGAGGTATGGTTCTTTTACTTCTCGGAAATTGCATGCTGAGGTGAATATCACTTTTGGTGAGATTGATGAGGTCAGGGAACTGATAAATGCTGCGGGTCTGCTTAGAACTGTATCTGAGAGTAAGCCTTTTGATCCCCAAGTTGTGTATGAGTTTTGGGCGAATTTGCCAACTGTTGAGCCAGAGACAGACTCCGCAGATGTGCTGGTCCGGAATTGGGTGTATGAGTTTAGTCCTGACAGGATTAATGCGTTGTTTGGACTTCCGGCTGTGGATGAGCGCACAGAACAACGGCATATGGCTGAAGTGATTACCTCAGACATAGCTCTCTTTGTGTATGGAGGTAAAGCCAAGGTCTTCAAGCAGTTCCAATTGTCTAAGGTTGAGGACAACAACACTAAAGATCTTCTCAAGATCTATTGTACCAACTGGCTGCCTCCAACCAATGATGGGTATGTCACTCCTGACAGAGCCAAACTGGTCTACAAGGTGATGCATCAGAAGCCGTTTGATTTTGGGAGGATGGTCTTTAAGCTGATCATCAACATGAGTCTGACCCCTGTCTCAAAGTGGTGTCTGCCGTTTCCCAGTTTGATTTATCAGCTGATCCAGTCACAACACCCTGTGCATCCGGATGTATCTCAGCCAGTGCCAAAGTCCAACAAGAAGGGCGAAGCGAAGAGAGGACAGACTGCTGAGGTTCCAGTGTGCTTTTCAGATGATCGCAAGGCTTTGCGTCGTGCAATTCAGATCATGCAGCGTATCATCGATGCAGGTAAGTGTTTCTTCTTTCAATCTGTCATTCATGTGATCCATAAGTTACTTGTTTTTGACTTAGTTGTGCAAACAAGCAGGGGGAGATGATTCTGATTCTGATGATCATAGGACTGGTTGATTTGTGGGGGAGCATTTGTCCTGGGGGAGCAGTTGCTGTTGTTGCTGTTTGTTTTTGGTTGTTAGCAACAATGTATTTTTATTACAGAATCTTGTTTCGTTAGCTTTTAGCTTTTGGGTCTGTAATATGTTTAAACAT